TTCTAAATACAATATAAATTCTAATACAATACAAATTTAACAAGAATTATATCTAAAATATAAACTATAAATTATAATATATTGTTCTATAAAACTATTAGTATAATATTATAAAGTTACTCTGTAACAATATCTAGAGAATAAAGTCATATTCCATAGCTATCATCATACTCTGGCACCTCAATATCAACAACTAGGAGTTAACCCTTTTGCATACAATATACATATATCCAAAAAATCTAACTTCTGGTTACTTAGTTATAACAATAACAATATTATTATTGCAAAATTCATAAACAGTTACTAAACAACTTGATTTCCATCACACACTAGAAAACTAATATTAATCCTATATATAATCAACTCTATCCTCTCCAACCTATCCAATGCTATCTCTGCTTTGGATATTATCTTAACTCTAACAGAATTAGTAATTGCTGTACAATTAATATTTCAGCCATTATTTCTATTCAGTTCTTTGGAAGAATTTCTTCTAAAAATCTCATCCTTCATGCTAATTACATTGATCTTATTTACTCTACAGCAATTAAACATCCTACTCAAGTCTCTACTTTACCTTAAATTTCTATTAACTATTCTACTGCATCTTAAATTTTTGAGCCTGGAGAGGTTACTTCTAAGTTTGAACAATTCTCTCATATGAACTCTATGCTCTTCTAGTTTAAGGGAGCTGCCAGAAATCAGCTGATTTTTTTGAGTAGAAGGGAGTTCGTAGTCTAGTTAGGTTATATATAATGCTTGTTTCTGATTGGTTGATGCTATAATACTGTTTTAGTTATACAATATACTTGCCAGTTTAGATTATATATAGTATAAGTATAGAACTAATATCTACATATCACCAAGTTCAAAATAATGTAATATATATACAGGAGTAAATTTTTTACTATGAAATTTGAGTAGGTGAAACTTTAAAAATATAATTTCATTGATTTGTGTAATTTATGAAAATTATATAACAAAATTTTATATATAACATATTGTGTGACTAGTATATACGATCTTATATACTACTATAGAAATGTTAATTTATGAGTCTGGTTTGATCTAGTTTTAGAACTTTTTAAGACTAACAATAATACATATAAAAATTTAAATCTTGAATTAAATCTTTCGAATTTGTTAAATAATTTAATTTAAAATTCAAATCCTATACAATGTATTATACTTTCATGCGATTTAAAGACTAAGCTCTTACTAACCCTTAAAAGAATCTGCTAGAACTGGTTAAGACTTGATCTCAAATATCTCTATACTACTACTCTTTTACTTAAAATTTTAGATAGCAGCTTAGCCAATTTTTAATCAGGTTTCAATCATATAACAAATATATTATTTTTATATAGATTGGATAAATTGCTCACACATACATACCAATATTTGAACTTTAAAATAATTCGAACAAGACAAAAATAAAAGATCAGAATTATCGAAATTACAAGATCAGTTAAGCTTTAATAAAGTGTTATTTTATTTTAAATTTTTAATATTTATATTAAAAACAATTTTTATAAGATTATAATGCTAGGATAAGAGAAAACAATTTAAAAAAATTGTTTGTAATTCAAAATTTTATCTAAAAAACTATTTTTGAAAAAATAAAAATCGATTGGCTAAGCCAAAAATTTTTGACTTAGCCGATTTTTTTATATTAACTATCTTTTGTATATTCTCGTTTGGTAGAATAATATATATTATGAAACAGTTCTTAATTAAATTATTTACTAATAATTGTATAGCTATTTATTCAAGTTATATTTACCTTTATCAAAGCAATTCACTCTCAGAAAGACTATATTTGAAATCAATTTCTTCAGATTGTATAGGTATATATTGTTCTATAAGTATATATAGTTGAAAGTATATAAACTCATATGTTGCTGAATTAGAATTTTAACACCGTATTTTCGCGAAATAACAGGCATGGGCGTTATTTCGAAAATTGTAACCCTTAAAAATAACATATATAGCTTCGAAATAATGCCTATGCATGTTCCGAAATAATGCATACCCAATAGTAAGAAGTATTTATTTATTGTAATATTAAAAAATGCTTTGAAACTAAGTTTGGTACGAAGTAAACTTAGTTTCAAAGCATTTTTGTTTTATATAAGAAGATACTTAAAAATTTTATATTTGTTTCAAAATGACGCCCATGCATGTACTCGAAATAACGCGCATATACTCAAAATAACGTACAGATGAGCGTTATTTCGCGAAAATACGGTATTTACGAGTAGTATGTTGAGACTGTTTATATTTCTGAACAAAATTTAAAATAGGAAAATACTTTTCACATTCAGAACAATATAAATGTTGATACATTTCTTTTGAAATAGTCGGGTAGTACTTGTTATAGGATGGAATTTTAACTAGATCAAAGTATTCAAGAATATGAATTGGATTTAAAAAATAGTGATTACGTTCTTTAATCATTGAAGGTAAGAATCCATTATTTTTTTGTAATAAAATAGTTGCTTCAGGTATACAGGATGGCTTACAACAATTTAAATTGCTATATTTGCGAATATCAAGTGAATAGCGACAAATTTGACAGTGGTCTTCAATCTATTGTCATAAAATTTTATCAATATTATCAAACACATTAATATGTATATCTACATATGTGGTTCTAACTGACCTTCTATAACTTTGATCACATTGCCAAATATCACAAAGCTTTTCTTCTAAGAATAGAATTATATTATGAATTATAACTTTGTATTATACATGATTTACATAAGTGAATTAGTTTTTATATAATTTTTATCACATTATATTAGAGATGTGATCTGTTCTCTGTCTCCTATTTAAAATTTAATAGATATTTGGATATCCAAATTCTTTATAATAATTTGTTATAAAATTAAACTATTAGATATCCAGATCGCATCTCTATATTATATATATTGTAAATTAGAATAAAACAAAAATAGGGTTCAGAATCCACTTAGATTAGAACAAAATAATTATACTAAAAATCCCAACCTCAAAAATTCTGAATCAATATAAATTCTAGTTTCATCTACAATATATATAATGCACCTATTTTACAAAAAGCTCTGGCAATATTATTATATTATTTTATTTGAATATATGATCTGTATTGTAATTTCTCATTTACTGAAATTTTTAATTTCAGAAGTTACAGTACATTTCATATATTCAAATTACAATTTATATTAAAATTATATAAAAACTAATTTTACAACTATATCTGAGAAACGAAAATTTTTTTTTGCTAATTCTTTATTAATAACTTTTCCTTGAGAATTAAGATAAGTACCAAAATGATCTATAAATAATACAATTTTAGCTAATTTAGATGAAAGAAGCACCATGCCTCTTTCTACAAGATTAAAAGAAGACTGACCAGATGCATAAGTATAAATAGTTAAGTAATCGAGGTCTAAGTAATGAAAAGTTTACAATATTATATAATATTTTTTAAGTGTTTCAGATTTTTATCTAGTCTATTATCTACTAATAAAACCTATATTGGCTTAATTTTTTTTATATAGATAATGTCATCATATTCTTTTGTATTTGTTATTGAAATCAAATTAGCCATATATGTCAATTATACATGCTAATGAAATTATTTTAGGTTTTAGAATACGAAATTAAAATTTGAAGACGAAATTGTTTTGATCTATTTTACTTAAAAGACAAAATTTTTTGATACTTTTTTTGAAAAGACGAAATTATAAGGAATATAACTACCTAAATTAGATTTGCTATTGCATATAAAAAATTCTAAATTGCTCTAATAGAGACAAAATAGAAGTTTTTTGAAAACCTATTTTGGTGGTATATATAGTATCAATGCAGTTGTATTTATAAAATATTCAGGTCGAATATAAATTGTAAGGTGTCCTGAATGAAAACTATCATTTGTATTATTTGGATTAATTAACAGGTATACAGATAGAATTAGTTTCATTTTGCTGGCTAAAAGAAAATCATGATCAGATATAGAAACAGGTTCATTAATTGTTTTGATTAACTTGAATGTTTGTTCAACCACTAGAATTCTTAAAGAAACCTTTGATTTATTATCTTGAGATATTATTATTGAATAATTATAAAAGGTTGCAGCAAATGTCCAGGCACTTTTTACTAAAGCAAGACAATAATAACTATCTGAATAATCTGATTTTTCATTTTGTGATACTGATTGAATTTGTACTAATGCAGGGTGGTGATGCTATTTCGCTGACAAAGCATTCAGATGTCTTGGCCAAAGGTAGGTTAACAGAGTTTGTCTACTAATATAATAGTTATATCTTTCTTCAAATTTTTTTTTTAAATGTTTAATGGTTCTAACTTTTATTATTATTATTATTATTTTTTTATCTGCTTTGCTATATTCAATATAATCATGAATTTGGTCAAGGAAGTCTAGGTTTTGTGCAAAAATTGATAGTCTTTCAGCACCTTCCCATTGTTTGACAATATCTTTTTTTTCAAGTTGTTTCTGTTTTTTAGTTATCATCTGGGCTTGATTGGCTGCATATCATTTAAGTGCCTCAATTTTTTTATCATTTGTTTCAATAATATTTTTTTGCTCTTACATTTTAATAGCAATATCCTTCCTAATACTAATATCTGAAGCTATATTGTACATAGTTTCAAATTCAACCATCTTATTTTTTGCTATTTTGATTTTTTCATATAAAGCTTTTTGAGCAGCAGCATTAGGACGTATTTCATATTCATTAAAAGTTGAAATGATAGAAAGAAGTGAAGTAGATACTGAACTACTTGGTTGAGATGATTTACTACTAGAATTTTTTTTGAATCCAATTGATTGTAATGGAATTGGAGTATTCAAAAAAATTTGTATTTTGGCTTGAATACTGTCACAGTCTTTTTTTTTGATCTCATGCCATTTTTTATTTCTTTCTTCAACTAATTTAGATTTTGATGGTGATAGATTCATAGTTAAAACTATTTGATTATAAGCAAAGGCATTCATAAAATGTTGATACAAGATATCTGCTTTTGAATATAATAACATTTTATCGAATTTTGGTATACTTAAAAACGGTTACATTTTGATAATAAAAAAATCTATACAAAAAGGGTGTGGTATATAATTTTTTTTTATTACTTGCTTTTATTAAACTTTTTTTACTTTTCGATTTCGTAAAAATCAGCCTTTTTATAATTATTACAATAGAAAATATTTATTATTAAGTCTTCATACTTTTGTTTGATTTATTTTAATTACATTTCAATAATTACATTTTTAAATTATCTATATTAGATTATTATTTACTTGGTACATCAAACTAAAAATGCAGAACAAAATTTTTCTAAATTTTTTATTCTATATATTTTTCTACAATTCATTTCTATAATATTCTTGAAGCATATAATGCGTAGCTGATGTTGCCCATATGCATACAGAGTTTGCTTCAATACTTTAAGAGTAAACTAACTAAATAATAATTCATGTTATAAACAACTTTTCAAGTAAAACCCCAACTGATTCCAGCTGGATTAAATTACGAGCTTCTAATTTTTAATTGTATAGTTGGTTATTTGATAAGTAAACATTTAGTAATTGATTTTTGTTACGCAATTCACAGCTAACATTTTTTTATTAGTTGAGACTATATCTGCACTTTAATTAATTTTGACAGTTATAACATCTATTATTGTGTGAAAGCTGTCCTACTTTGATAGCATACAAGTAGCGACTGTCTATTTTTAATTATTATCTTATTTTATGAGATTAGTATATTTGGAGATATGGATTTGTTTGATTCATATTGACATACTACTCATGCAATAATCCTATAAAAATTGAAGACGGTCTTTGGTTAAATAATAGATTTAAAATTATTGAATTGTTGCATATATTATAAATAATCTGTTACTAAATACATGCGATATTGATTTTCATTGTATATAGCAATGACTAGCTCAGAAAAGTGTAAGAGTTTATTATTCAAATTGGCCATATGTAATTTAATAAAGCTGACTTTAAATTCTATAAACTTAATGTTCAAAAAATATAAGATTTTCCATTTTTTATTATATAAATACATTCAAGAGAAAATTTGTTATTGGGTTTTTAATTATATTTTGAACTGAACACAACTTTTAACAAATTAAACTGATTTTGTCTAATACAAAATATATTTAAAAGCCTAATAACAGGTTTTCTCTTGAACACACTCATATATAATATTCTGTTACTTAATTCTATATTTCTTATATATGCTTATAACAAGCTAATTTAAGAAATATATTAATGCAGCTGTTGAAAAAAAATATACATAAATAAGATTTATTTAAACTAACGCAGAGGTATAGAATCAGACTATATCAATTATAGATATTAATTTGAATTATTTAAAACAGTGCCAAGATATAAAACCAGAGTATGTTAAATATAGATTTTAATTTGAATTATTTAAACTAATGCCAAAGTATAGGGTTAGGATGGAAAAATTTTAATTATAATAATATACAGTATATGATAATGCAAAATCTATAACTATTTACAGAAGCTATAATTCCTAATTCTAATACATACCAGATCAGTATCATATAGATCCTGATCTGTAAACACCTTGCTGAAATTCATCTGAATCTTGCAAAAACTAATTTTATTTCTGTCAATAAAGTCAGTGTTTTAGCTGCTTTCATATTTTTTAGTAACCAAATCGATAAGTTATCAAGTCAGAATCAATAAGTTACAGACTTTGGCTGGTGTCAAAACTTATCATTTCGGTTATTTTTCAAGTGTCTTAGAATTTATAGAAACAGTTGTGTTATGCATTATTAATCAATACATGTCATTTTCAATTTTCACTGATTGAAAAATGATCTGAGTCAGTTCTTAATGCTGATAAGACTTGCATACAATAATAAAACTGATTAACTGCATATTAAATAAATATGTATTTGCAATAGCATAATACAAATAGTTTTTTTACTGTCATGTACTTTTTTTCTTCGTACATAGTACTTATAGATTTACAAGTTACAATTTGCTATCACCAATAAGAAATAAGCTGAATTTGAAGAACAGAGATGTTTATAATAAGCATCTAATTATTTTAAAAAAGTCTAAACTTTTACTGCAGATGAACTGCAACATGTCAAGTTTGTAATACTGTATTTTTTTTTTTTTTTTATTAATATAATGCCATAGTAGAAACTTTATTACAAATAGAAAAATAATTCTAAACTTAAAGATTTCTAACTATATTTGTGTTACATAAGGTATGCAATGTGACATTACACCACTTATTTCATATAAATTGCTATAGTTAATTATTTTAAACTAATTTCTAGCTAGGATAGGTTGGAGGAGACCTAATGGTTTGTAATATTAAAGACTCTTAGTTCATAAAATTTAATATAAAATATTCATATAAAATATTCAAAAACGTTTAATCTATAATAAAATAGGAATTTTAAATTATAATTAATTTACTATCAAAAAATTTGCTATACTCGAAATAATATGGATGTGTTCTATTTGTTAAAGCAATAATATTTAAAATATTTTGCATATATATATAAAATTTTAATTATATTTTATTGAATATATATATGTGAACATATAATTAATCAAATCGTTATAAGCTAAAAATAACTAGATAATTGTTTACTTGCCTAATCGTAAATTTTTGGTTATGGACTCGGTTTATCTATTTTGATCTAGATTATTAGATTTGTATATTCTATCTAGTCAGGTGGGGAGAAGAGGGTAGCCTTCATAGTAAACTAAAATCAGGTAATTTCTGACTGCACCTAACTTCTATACAGATGGATCAGTAATCAATATTGAAATACAAAACTGCACAATGGGTATAGGATAGGTCTAGTTGGATACCAATAATCACATTATATATAAATTCTTAGCAAAGATACACTTTTAGCCATCTTTATACAAAGCTAAGCTTTTTTCAATCCTATCTACAATCTCTACTACTCTACGCAATTCAGCTATCAATATTTTTACTGATTCACAATCTATCATCTTCAAATACTCTAAACTTATTAACTTAAACAACTCTAACAAACTTTTTAAATTCAGCTTATAGCCTTTATAGCATATATTATTTAATATTGTTATTTTATTAGCATATATAGTATATTTTATTAGTATAATTTATATTTATTATATGTTTATTTTTAGCTTTAGTTTAATAATAAAATTTTCAATAAATAATATTAATTTTAGTATAATATTAGGTATGTTAACTGGTATGTTAACAGGTATGTTAACTGGTATATTAACTAGTACTTTAACTAGTACGTTAACTGAGTTGTTAAATGAGTTGTTAACTGGGTTGTTAATTGGGTTGTTAACTGGGTTGTTAAAAGAGTTGTTAACTGGGTTGTTAAAAGGGTTATTAACTGGGTTGTTAACTGAATCATTAACTGAGTTATTAAAAGGGTTGTTAACTGGATCGTTAACTGGGTTATTAACTGGATCATTAACTGGGTTGTTAAAAGAGTCGTTAACTGGGTCATTAACTGGATCATTAACTAGGTAACTAGGTCGTTTACCAATAGTCCAAAAGATATAAAAACCTTACTTTTTCTCCCAAGTCAGAGCAGACTTCCCTTACCCACTTTTAGTTTCTTATTTTTTATAGATTATTTTTAATGAATAGACTATCTCCTCCTCACTTTTATTTCCTTATTAATTACAACTTATTTTTTTAGAAGTGTAGCTATTGCCTACCTTCTTTTTATTGTATTTAATAAAGCTTTTATTGTGTTTTTATTGTGTATTTAAAATTGAGCCATCGCCTTTTCTTTCTTCTTTGAGTATTTATTTTTGGTATATTAAGTTGAGCCATCACTTCTTCTCCCTTTTCTTGAGTATTCTATTGTGTTTTAGAATTAGAACCATCGCCTCTTTTCTTTATTTTTAGTTTATTGTCTTACTTTAAAGTCTCTTTTAGCTTTCTTTCTTATTTTATTCTTTTCT